TCTCTCTCTCTCTCAAAATAAATAAACTTTAAAAAAAAAAAAAAAAGAAAAGATCTCCAGAGCCACGTGGAGGCAGCAGTTACAAAATAGTACAGGAACAGGCACATCTTAGGTCAGCAAATCATTTCTGAAACTGGACATTGAGGTTCTTATTGCTTTTTTATTATGCGTAATCACTGCATGTACCTCCGTGAGTGTTTTTCCTTAGGCCAGATGTGAAGGAGCCGAATTACTGCCTCACAGCTCTTGCAAATTTCAAGTAGCTTGGGCCAGCTTATTCTCCGACCAGCAGGGTTTGAGATTAATTGTTGCACCGACATCCTTCAACAGAGTATTACTGTTAATTTGCCGATCGGATGAGCAAATTTATTTTTGCCTCAAATTTGAGGATGAAGCACTGTCTTATTAGGATTATGTGTAGGTGACCTATCAGAGATGTTATTTTTTTTAATACCCCCAAATCCTCAAAATACTCCGTTTCATCTCTTTGCCTGTTTTTCCTGTAATCTAAATCCTAAATCCCCTAATTCCAGCCCTTATTTTTTTAAAGATCTTGATCTTTGAATCTTGTGAATAAACCGCCAAAAGGTTATCCCTGAAAAACTTGAATGTTCTTTTGTTTTGCCATCATCGGTAAATCTATCTTATGAGTTTGGTTTTCCAGCGAACGATATGAGAACTTTTTACCCAAAACAAAGTTTCTTCAGGAGAGATCTCCCCACATTAAAAAGCTCCCGTAGTTTGCTTACCGTTACCTTTGAAAGTACACATAGTTTAGAGCTAGAAATAAGCATTGGGGCGCCTGGGTGGCGCAGTCGGTTAAGCGTCCGACTTCAGCCAGGTCACGATCTCACGGTCCGTGAGTTCGAGCCCCGCGTCGGGCTCTGGGCTGATGGCTCAGAGCCTGGAGCCTGTTTCCGATTCTGTGTCTCCCTCTCTCTCTGCCCCTCCCCCGTTCATGCTCTGTCTCTCTCTGTCCCAAAAATAAATAAACGTTGAAAAAAAAATTAAAAAAAAAAAAGAAGCATTTTCTTCGTCATATACCTTGGTTTATATTCCTCTTATGTCCTCTTTGGACAAATGCTCTAAAGTATCTCTCATCCATATGTCAATTCTTGTTAACAAAAGAAATCATTGGGGGGTCATCTCTTCTTTCAAATATGAAGTGATTCTTAATTTGTGCGGGTCTGATTTGATGGCTAAGATCATCAAGTCCAAAGGCCTCTGTTTTCCATATGAACCTCACCAAGTAAATAATTTTTTGTTCAGTTGTACTTCCGAGGGCTTTCTCTGGGTGTGTGAATTTTCTTATTTACAGAAACTGTAGATTTGGAGGCAGAAAATTTGTAAATATGTTTTTGTCTTAGTTGGGATTTTCTTCATGCTGGGTCTTGACATCTCACAAACGAAAAAGATTAAAGCCCATGATCACTTTTTTGGATTGACACAAAATGAGAGGAATCAAAAGGTAAGTGATGCTGATAATGTTGACTGATGTTAAATTTCTTTGGTGTTATAATTGCTAATCATCATTAATGAAATTATCTTGCGTCTATTAGCACTATCATTTACTTCGTTGCAGTCCCAGCAACAAAATGCCATACCGTGTACTTGACTGCGTTCTAAACGTAGAAAACAAAGTTGGGAAGCAAATAAAATTGGGAGGAAAAATTTAAGTATGAATCATATCTGAAAGAATAGTCTTGGTGTTACATTTCCTTAGCAGTGTAATTATGGGGAAGACTGCCCTTTCTCTTAGCATCCAGGCTCAAGGATTTGGGGGTGACACATGTCCTAAAGTCACCAAGGGAACTGTGTACATATATATGTGTGCATGTGTGTATATAGATGAAGGGAGGGCAAGAGAGTGAGAAAGTAAATATAGCAACATAGCTACAACCGATTAATCTACACGATGGAAGCATGGGTGTTCGTTGTACTATTCTTTGCATTTTAATACAGGTTTTGAAACTTTGCAAAAGAAAAACTGGGAGGGCCCATCCCCCCCCCACCCACCTTAAATTCCACATGTGAGTGAAATCACAGATATGTGTCTTGCGCTCACTGACTCATTTCCGCTTAGCGTAATACCCGCCAGTTCCGTCCACGTTATCTTATGTATCTGAGCTAATCATGAAGTATGTGATGTGTGATTAGAAACGGTTCAGTAGCTGGAGCGGACGTAGCTATTGAAACACCACTTTGATATGAGACTTAGCGCCCTTGCCTTTGTACATCCCCTGAATTACCGTTACAATGGGTACGGTTTTCACCCAAATTTCAAATACTCCCCACTCCCGACGAGAAGCTTTTCAAGCCCAGAAACACACTGTTCTTACACTGACCTTTGCAGGAAATGTTCCAAAAATAGCAGTACGAATATTCTGGCCAAGTCAGGTCCATACCACAACAAAGATGGACGTGTGCAAGAAGGAGCTCGTTGGAGCAGATGTAACGACAGTTCACGCGAAAGCCCCCCTGTACGTGCCGCCTTCAATACCAACAGGTAGACTTTCCCCAAATGAGCCTGGTGGCAACTCGGAAAGTAACAGCCCTGGCTGTCACGTTGGCTTTGAATGTGCCCCGCCGCACAGGAAAACTCTTAGCTCAAGCTCTCGGAATGAATCATCGAGAGTCAAAGCCAACTGGAGCTTACTGTCATTGTCCTCGTCTCTAGAACTCTATCACTGTATTCTAGAGATGTGCTGTCCCTGCAAAGTTCTGGTCAGGTTTTGAGGCCTGCTTTTCAGAACGTGGAAGCTGATTCTGTGCAGCAATTTCTGAACAAGCACCGTATCAGTTACACAACAAACACGTGATCCGACCCGTCCAATTTGAGGGGTAAAAAAAAACACACAACATTTCAGAACCGCCCAAAATGTGAACGCAAGGGGGTAAGAGAAGGGAGCATTTGGCTTCATTTCTCCCGACTGTCGTCCACTCCCTCGAATGCTTGCTGAACCTCCCGCTCACCTGTGACTTGCTCAACTAGGAAAGCATCTGAGAGGCGATGGCATCTGGTCTCTGGTGGTAAACGACTGAACAAGTGAGAGGAGAGGTGACAGAAGGTTTGGCAGTTAGAGGGCCTGTTGCCTCCTTTCTCTTACCTTTGCGAACCAATCTGCTCCTTTGGTCCGGAGGAAACAGCAAATGACCATATAGGGACAAGTAAGTCAGCTGTGCTTTTTCCAGAAATGTCCACCAGCCTTCCAAGAAACTAAGCTGCTCTTTGTACGGACATTCTTCTTATAGCTGATCCCATGGAAAGAGTTGTTTTTGCTCGAGTCTGATTTGTGCTCAAAAACAGTGGGAAGTCCCAGGAAGCGGGGAGGCAGTAACTGACAAACCCACATCGAGCCACAGAATGGTGTTTCTTCCCCTTTTTCAAAAAATGAAACCTATCTATGAAACTGTCTCTTGTTAAAATAGTTGATTGCTACACTTTATAGAAGAACCCTATCCGCATAAATGTACTCTAACAGTAAATTCTCTGGGATCCCTTCACCAAAAGAGAGCCAGAGTCCAATGGGATTTAAAAAAATTCTCTGTCTCGTCACTGAGCTCGCTGAGCTATAATTTTTAAGAAGTATTCTCAGGTTTGTACTCAGAATTTTAAAAAATGCTAACGAAACCGTTTTCCCTCACAGATTAACCAAAGTAAAAAATAATATAATACACCCAGTGGGCAAGGTTGTAGGGAGACAGGCACTCTCCTGCGTTAGTGATGAGATTATAGACATTTTTAGAGGGCAGTTTCCCAGTATCTGTTGAAGTTTTTTTCCCCAATTTGAAATATTCGTACCCTCTGACCCAATAATTTCATTTGTATAAATTCATTCATGTCACAGGTTTACACCTGGGCACACAAAAAAAGTGAAAAGGTATTTGTGGCAGCATTAAGAAAGTCAACACCTGGAAAAAATAGTCATAAATAGGACATTGTGCTAAATAAACGTACAACTGTATACAATACTACACAGTTGTTAGAATCATGTGGCTTTATATCTAATCATAGCAAAAGGTCTCCAAGTTACATTGTTTAGCAGGAACACATAATATGCTCCAATTTATATAAATACAAATAAGTATACTTCTATAGGGATATGCAAGAAACTGGAAAGAAACAATTGCCTTTTGAGAATGAGTCTTACTTTTCACTCCATCCCCTTTTAAAATTTCTACTATGTGTATGTATTACTTTTTCATTTTAAAAACCAGTATATTTGGGGGCGCCTGGTTGGCTCAGTTAAACATCCAACATCGGCTCAGGTCATGATCTCATGGTTTGTGAGTTCAAGCCCCGTGTCAGGCTGTCCACTGTCAGCACAGACCCTGCTTCAGATCTTCTGTCTCCCTCTCTGCTGCCCCTCTCCAGCTCTCTCTCTCTCTCTCTCTCTCTCTCTCTTTCTCATCAAAAATAAAGAAATGTTTTTAAAAAATAAATAAAAATCAGTATTTTTAAGTTCTCTATGGTTTTATTTGATTTTACGGCCCAAACGTATTGTAATCTATGTTTTCCTGGAGGACAGACAAGTCTATCTACAAACGAGTCTGTTGTTCTTGCCCAAAAGCAGACAAATGTTGAGAGTTCTGGAAATAATTGATCTGGTTTACCCTGACTGCTTTTAGCCAACCCACATGTGAGCCCTAACATGAATTGCTGTCGAATTGGACCATCAAGCCCTGAGTTGTGAGCAAGAGGTTGTCATAACTGGAGAGCCAAATATTGTTTTATTTCTTTTGATTGTGGATTCAACCACAACCAGCTAGACTGAGGATATTCTAGGGTGGGCCATACCTACCTCCAGAAACACTTTCTCACGGTTTCCCAAAGAGCTCACCTGGCAACGCCATTCAGTAGCCATTATGGGGCGATTCTGTCTACTCTGGGTTGCGTTAACTCACATTGATTGTTTCAAACGGAATATGCAAAGTTTGTATCATCCTCACTCTCGATTTTTGTCTCTTAAGTTATTCATTTTATGGAAATCATCCTTTGTAGGATATATTTTCCGTCATCGAAAAGATAGCCCAAGGGCGCCTGGCTGGCTCAGTCAGTTAAGCGTCCGACTCTCGGTTTCAGCTCAGGTCATGATCTCACAGCTTCGCAAATCCGAGCCCCTCGTGGGGCTCTGTGCTGACAGCGCAGAGCCTGCTTGGGATTCTCCCTCTATCCCTGTCTCTTCCCCTCCCCCTCTCACACTGTCTTTGTCTCTCTTTAAATAAAGAAATAAACTTGAAAAAAAAAATTTTTTTAAGTTAGCCCTACGTTTGAGCACCTGGCTGGCTCAGTCGGTAGAGCATGTGACTCTTGATCCCGGGGTAGTGAGTTTCCAGCCTCACCTTGGGCGTAGAGCCTACTTAAAAAAAATAATTTAAAAAACACAAAAAGTTGGCACTATGTCAAGTTGGCTTACCATTTCTCTGTTGACGAGACCTGAGCTTATGAAATTGGCTTTACATTGCTTTCTCTTTGCTGACTGAAGTAAAGGAGAATTATGTCCTGTGTAACTAAAATCCTATAATGAGATTTTCTATCAATCTAGTGGATGATAGGTAAAGAGTTACTGCCTTGATTTCTGTGCCTCTAGAAGGATATTATTCCTGGGACACCTGGGTGGCTCAGTCCAATCCAAGAACATCGGATGTCTTTCCGTTTACGTGTATCTACTTTAATTTCGGATACTACAGAGGCTATTTTGTCCCTTAGCTTTTTTTGTGTTGATTTTTTTCACTGTCGGTACATGTAGATTGGCCTCATCCTACTTGACACCTACGTAGACTTGCAGTGCAAGCACGTTCCAGTGATAATGTGTTTGTCCAGTCCTTTATCGATAGAACCCCTCCTTTAGGAAGATCCCCCTGCCGTCACCCGGTGGGTCTTGTGTCACTGCACCCTGCTACTCATTCTCCCAACCCCCCCGCTTCATCCTTTCTAAGAACTTTCATTGGTTTCCCACCAACCTTCCATTTCCTAGAACTGAAATTCTTGCTTCCCCCCACCCCACCCCCCTCCCGCCAGTGTCCTATCTTGGTGAACTCATCGCCTGCCATGTCTGCCATTATAGTCTTTGGATGATGTGTGGATCTGTATCTCCAGTCCCTCACGTGTCTCCTGGGATCTCCAGGTTTTCATCTGTGGATATTTGACTGCTTCACGTAAACGAGGCCAAATCTTAAATCTTTTGACCCCAGGATTTACATGTATACTTATCTTTATAGCATTACTCAGGCTCAGTACTTTGAAATTCTCTCTAATTCCACTTTATCCCTAATCTCCCCCCAAAATTAATCACCAGTGCCTGCCAACTCGACTCAGTAGACCACGGTGGTTTATAACTCAATTTGATCTGTGCCTCTAGGGAGAGTAAACAAAACAAAAGCCCTAGTATCCATCTGACAGTGCATAATGGTAAACAGCGTGTAACTCACGGCGTCTTTAGAAACAGCCCTGTCTTCCCATATTCATTTTCACAGTTTACCTTCACCATTTTTATAATCACCGTTTCCTGAAGACCCCGTTAGAGTTTTAGGCATACAGTTGTAATCCATTTCCTCCAGAGAAGATCAATCTTAAGTGGTATTCTATAAAAATTATCATGCACACGTTCGAGTTTAGGAGCACGTCACATATTCCATGGCGTGAAATGAATACGACATTTTAAAATTCTTGGTTATACTTCAGTAAGTCTCATTTCTCCCGAAGAAATCCGTAACATAAGCTGTGGAGCAGTACTGCTTACCGAGGACGGGATGACAGATTATAATTGCTTTATTAAGTACAACATTCGGAATGCCTCCGAAGCTGTAATGGCTTCTTGTGCACCAGAGACTTTGTTATTTAGGATACAACTGATGGTGATGTATACTGTTTGTTCTCGAATAACTCCCATTTTCCACTTCAGAGAGACTTTCATCTCGGCGTCAAATCATATGAGTACTGCGTCTGTAAAGTTTCTGAAGCATTTGAATTTCTTTCAGTTGCAAAATGGTTCAACCTGGAAATGAGATATAAATTAAAAGGGCACATTGCATTCCACCCCGTACGTGTTCTTGAAAATCCTGTGTAGTATATCGAACGGCTCATTTTTGTTGGCTGTTGCCCAGTGGTTGGCATTAATCACAGGTAGCAAGTCAAGTACCTGAAGGCTTAAGGGGTTCGCAACCCCGTGAACTATTTCGGCTTCTGCTTTCTAATTCTTCGTCTTTGCTGTTACTTGACATTTTCTCCCTTAACGGTCTAGCAAAAAGTTCCTAACACCAAAACTTGAAATCCCAGTCATTTACTCTGAAACAAATACCCCAGAAACGTCAGACAGGGTTTGGCTACAAGTTCTTGCTTCTTTTTTGACCATTTGTACACACTCGTGCCCCTCTTCCCTAGTTTTCATATTTTTCTCTATTAACCTCTTACCTCTCCCCCCCACCCCATCGAAGGTTCAGGTCTCGGGACACAGAGACACTTCCCCCTCGAGTCAAGATAATGCTTCACTTCCTCTACCATAAATTGGTCTTGAAGAGAAAAACTTGTTCTGTTCCTTAGTTGAGCAACTGAGAATTTCCATTTTACTGATGTTGTCTGTTTACCTGTTCTTTGCAGCTCACACAAACGAGTATTTGCGTGAACTCTGCTTTCGCCTCCTAATTTATTTCTGTTAGGACCAAGAGGCCAAAGACTCAACCACACCTGTGGAGAATTTCAATTTTTATGCATCGGTTTTAATCCTCAACCCACATGCATCTCATTCTTTCTTTCGTCTACCTTTCAGACTTTTTGTTTAAACATTTAGTTATTTTTTTTTTAATTTTTTTTTCAACGTTTATTTATTTTTGGGACAGAGAGAGACAGAGCATGAAAGGGGGAGGGGCAGAGAGAGAGGGAGACACAGAATCAGAAACAGGCTCCAGGCTCCGAGCCATCAGCCCAGAGCCCGACGCGGGGCTCGAACTCACGGACCGCGAGATCGTGACCTGGCTGAAGCCGGACGCTTAACCGACTGCGCCACCCAGGCGCCCCAAAACATTTAGTTATTTTTCAGAGAGAGAGAGAGGCAGAGACAGAGGGTGAGCGGGGGAAAGAGAGGGAGACACAGAATCCGAAGCAGGCTCCATGAACCGAGCTGTCGGCACAGAGCCGGACACAGGGCTGCAACTCGCAAACTGCGAGATCATGACCTCAGCCAAAGTCGGAGGCTTGACGGACTGAGCCACCCGGGCACCCCCGCCTTTCAGACTTGTATAAAAGAAGGGAAGAAAGGAGAAA